GGCGGTCACTCGCGCCAGCCTGGCACCGACCGCCACGCCGAGAGCACGCCGGGATTGGCGCAAGGCAGTAGCATCCTGAGTCGCCTCATTCAGACGACACTCAACGGACTCTCCGTGGACCGGGGGAGGTTGAGAACGAAGGCACCCGCACCCGACGGGCAGGACGTCCGGCTCGACTAGGCCGATTCAACCTCAGGACCACAAGTGGCTAGCCGAGGGCACCGCCGAAGAGGACACCCGTAGTCAGCGGGACCGAAGAGAGCAAAGACGCCGACGCCGACGGAACCGCACAGAGCGCCACGCTACGAGGAGACGCTGCAGAATGCAGAGAAACGAATGGACACGGGCACATCGAAGCCCGCACACCGAAGCCACCGAGGGCGCCGACCCCACCAGCTCCCTCCGAGACTCACGTCGAAGGCATCCGAACGAAGCGAGCGCGCGCGGCAGCCCCCCGGGCCCATGGGCGACGTCGCGCCGATGGCCAAGCCCTGCAAGTCCTCGCGCTCGGCGCCCCGCTGCCCAATCGACGCGCGCAGCGGGGTGCTCCGCCCCGGGCGCCCACCGGAGCCGACGCGGCGGGCCCCACCACCGGCCGCTGCGCGAAACCACCTCCGCGCACCCCGGAGGACCGCCCCATAAGCTTCGGCGTTATCATGTTGAGTTGTTTTGCATGTTTGTTGACGTTAACCCTGTACTTGAAGCGCTGATCAGAGCTCGAGAGACGCAATGTTGGTTGCTTTACTTTGCAGCCTCGCGGCGCTTTGTGCGTCCGCGTTCCAGGCGCCGCGCGCAGCGACGCTGCCGCGCGTCGCGCGCGCCGCCGCCGCGGACAAGGACGCGGGTGCGTACCGCGAGCTCTACGAGAAGGCGGAGTACGAGCGGCAGCGCGCCGCCAAGGCGGGCAAGCGCTACCAGATCATCGCGAGCCCGGCGACGGAGGCCATGGCGCGCGCCATCGAGGCGTCGCAGCCGGACCGCTTCCACTTCCACGAGAGCTCCTGGGACAAGTTCCCCGACGGCACGGACAAGATCGTCGTCGGCGGGTTCAGCCCGAGGAACCTCATCGCCGGCGAGCACGTGCTCATGCTCTGCTCCTTCCACGACAACGACGTGACGCTCTCCCAGTTCCAGGTCATGGTCATGCTGCTCCAGGGCTTCATCAAGTCGCTGACCATCGTGCTCCCCTTCTACCCGACGGGGACCATGGAGCGCGTCGTCCTCGAGGGCGAGGTCGCGACGGCGAACACGTACGCGCAGCTCTTCTCGGCGCTGCCGTCCTGCGGGTCGCCGACGCGCTGG